TTCTTGAGATACAACGTTGTAAATTATGTTATTATGATTTTTCCTCAATAAACATTGAGTTGTATTAAAAAAATCGTACCACCGGTATTTATAGGATTGAAATAAATATTTCATGCATGCCAAAACTAGATTAAATTTGCATTAAAACGGTGTTTATTTTATAATAATATCTTAATCCGTTCTTGAGATACAACAAATTGATTTTTTCTAATATTAATTCCTTTTCTCTAAAACAATATTGATTCCGTTACAAGACTTCAAAACAACTTCAAACGTCGGTTTCATATCTTCAAGTTTCGTCATTGATTTGACCTTGTAATTTTTCAAAATTGTTGCTAAAACAGTTTTTTGCGCATACATTGCAAATCGTTGCCCGATACAATTTCTTTTCCCAGCACTAAAGGGGATATAACAATACGGATGTCTTCCGGTACAATTTGCGTGGTAAAATCTTGTTGGGTCAAACTCATCTGGGTTATCCCAATATTCAGAGCTACGATGAACTGAGTAGATGGGGAAAATCATGTGGCAATCTTTAGGAACTCTAAATTTATCTAAAAAAAATGTTTTTAAAAAAAATTGTGATGTTAAATTAATTTACCTAAGTATACATCTTCTGAGAGTTTTCTCATCACTATTGGGACGCTGGGATATAATCTTAGCGATTCTTTAATAACACACTCTAAATATTTTAATTCGTTTAAATCTTCAATGTTATTAGGGGTTTTATTGTTAACCAAAACAGATTTGATTTCTTCGTAGACGCTTTCTTGAATTTCTGGGTGATTTCCTAAAAGGAAAAGGGTCCAAGATATCGAAGTTCCAGTTGTGTGGTGGCCCTTAATTATGAATCAAAATTATTAATTAAGTATCAAAATTAATCAAGATAATCTTACAGCAAACATAAATGTGTCAACTTCTTCTCTTATCTCACTATCAGTTAATCCAACATCGTCATCGGGGCCTTGTAACAAAATATCTAAGAAACATAATCGTCGTTTTTTCCCAAAATGTTCCTCAATTTGCCGAATGTTTGAAAACAAAGTTTTTTTTCGTTCTTGAATCACCTTTTTGGTGAAATTATGGACAATGGATATATTTTTTTTGATCTCTCTTCCATAAGAAAAAAGTGGGTTATTAACGATTTTGATCCAAGGTTTAAGTTGGATATCCATTACATGTTGGCACAATAAATGTATGGCTTTTCCGTATGATGAATTCGTTGAGGTTAAAGCATCGATTTTGACGTTCATGGCTGCTTCTGCGACGATGTCCAAAGTGTAATTAAGCATGATTGGGTACACATCGAATTCTTTTCCATCTGAATAATTTTCGAATTTATGCAGTAACACCTCACTTTTTTCGATGAAGATTTGGACGAAATCCTTTAAGATTTGAAAGTGAAAAGCTGGGGTGAGCAATTTTCTTCTGCGGAACCATTTATTTCCGGTGCTTAATAAAACTCCGTCTCCTAACCAAGGAAGTAATGGATCATAACCCATCCCTTTCGAAATGTTTGTTGAACTCTTCATGATTACCTTAAAAAATAATTCTTTTTTAAGTCATTTCTTTTAGATTAATTTTGGTTTTTTACTTCGATGTAATCTGGTTTTCCAGTGATTACAAACGGGACTACTCCCATCCAAGCTTTACATAATGGGCCGTATTCTTCATAATAATTAATCCCTTTTATAAACGTCTCTAAAAAAAAAATAAAGTTAATTACAAAACAAATTTTAGTAACTAAAATCGACATTTTTTTGAATTTGGGGATTTTTGAATTGAAACTATAAATTGGTAATACCTAGAACGAAATTCTTTATGGATTATGATTTAGTGCTTCGTTAACAAGAATTTTTATTCAAACTTTGTACCCTCATCGTCTCTAGATTCCCAATTAAAACAAATTTTAGTTACTAAAATCGACATTTGTTTGAATTTGGGGATTTTTGAATTGAAACTATAAATTGGTAATACCTAGAACGAAATTCTTTATGGATTATGATTTAGTGCTTCGTTAACAAGAATTTTTATTCAAACTTTGTACCCTCATCGTCTGTAGATCGTGTCCACTAGTG